TACCGACCCAAGGCAGGCATCCAGAGGACAGATGCCATCCTTAGTCACCGCAGCAGTCAGAGACATAGAGAAATATAGGGCCTAAGCAGACAGCGCAAAGCGCCGTTTTCGAAGCCAGGAAGGGGAGGGGCAGCCTCACGCTGGGCGCCCCAACCCCTTCCCGAAAATGTCGTTGAAGCGGCTGGCCCTCTACACGTCTGGCACTCCGACGACACACTTCTGCTGCAGTGTCTGCACACGCTGCAGCGGAAGAGGCGCCGAAGGTGCGGTGGAGGCCTTTTGCGGTGCACCTTCTGCGTCTTGTGGAAGAAGCACTGTTTTAGCGCTCCTTCCTGGGACTTGGGGCCGAGGAGTGCGGATACCTCGGCCCCGATCCGCAGCTTCCCGGGGTGGCCCCATGCTGCCCGTCTGCTTCCCCCCATAGTTGGGTGTCATCAGCATATTGATAACCCCGCGCCCCATATCTCTGGATGATCTCTCCCAGTGGCTTCATGTAAATGTTAAACAGCATAGGGGACAGTATGGTGCCCTGCGGGACGCCAGATGTCAGCTCCCTTAGAAGAGCAACTGTCCCCCAGCCTCACCATCTGGGATCTGCCCAAAAGGTAGGATCGGAGCCACTGGAGTTCAGTGCCCCCAATACCTAACTCCCTCAGGCGTCCCAGAAGGATACCATGGTCTATGGTATCGAATGCCGCTGAGATGTCCAAGAGCACCAATGCTTCTCAACCAAAAACCTCTGGAACTGGGAGGCCACCACACACTCCAGTGGAATGTTAGAGACTGGCTGATTATTATCCAGAATGGTAGGATCAGGGAGGACTTCTTTTTAGTAATGGTTTTATAACAGCCTTTTACAACTGTCTCCTTCAGGCAAGGTGGAACTCTGCCTTGTCTTAGCAAGGCATTTGAAATATGCCAGGAAGGGCAAGGATCTAACACACAGGTGGCTGTCATCTCCCAAAGAATCCTGTCCACGTCCTTGGGTTACATACCAGTGTTAGAAAATATTTTGGATGTGCATGTTTCTGCTGATCAAAGAAATAAAGCTGATTTGAGCCGTGTATTCTGATATAAATGAGATGTGGATAATACATAACATAACTGTATCTGATATGTGTACACTTAGATATAAAAACTAAATTAATAAGTGAATATACTGATTTTGCCTATTATATATCAACATGATTTTTGTGTCTGTGACAAACAAACAGGTATATACAGAGCAGTCCCTGTCCGTGTCATTCCAAGAATGAGCAGCGTAAGATCCGTCTATAAGACCCACATTGATGTTATTCATTACTGCAAAACTGACTCAAAACGTTTGCATGGCATTGAAGAAGGAACAGAACAGAAGATGTTTACAGAAGAGCGTGAAAAAATGCTTCAAGAGCTTTCTACAAAACCAGATATTTATGATAGGCTTTCTTCAGCACTTGCTCCAAGTATTTATGAGCAGGAAGATATTAAAAAGGTGAGCAGCATTTAAAATTACAGAGGAGAATCGAAGCCTCATAGTCCATTGTTCAAATACTTTGGCACCCAAACACTGTACATATATGTTGGAATATGCATAGTAAGACAGATACGAGAACATAATTTTATAAGTTCAAGAAGTGCTGAAAGATGGTACAGTCATCATTAGAATATAATGGTTTAAGAGCCTAAAGAAAATGGGAAATTAAGATAGAAGTATATAATTTAATTATAACAGCAGTTTTCTGTTTCTGGGGCGGGAATTTTGGGGGGCATGAATTGTTCGGGGGGGGCACAAAACTTGGAGGCCCTGATCCTCCACCTCTACTTCCCAAACTTTTTCTGTCCTGAGGAGAAAGAGAAAGAAAGGCAAGGAGGGCACCTGAATATGTGGCTGTGTGAATGCATGCTGATTTAATCTCTTGCTTTTTTAATACTGTATTTATTATTTTAAGGGGGGTATTGTTATTATTGTGTAATGTAAGGTTTGTTTTAAATTGTGTTTCATATTTTGTAAGCTGGCTTGATTGCTTCGGCAGAAGGCAGGATATAAGAATAAAGTTGTTATTATTATTAATGTAAAACAGTATATATAAAATTTACACATTTAATAAAATGTAAAAATATGTATATACGTGAATGTGTGAACAAAAACACACACACTAAACAAAATGTCTGTATTAATATACAGTTGTCCCTCTGGCTTCACGGACTTGCCATTCGCGGTTTTGATTATTTGCAAATGGCAAGCCCGCAGCTCCCTCCCTCCTTCTCTTACCTCCTTTTCCGTGCTGGCCTTTCCTTGGCCACTTGGCTTTGCGACATCTGGCACAGCTTTGCCTCAAGCCTGGAGGCGCCGGCACAGCCTTGGCTCAGCCCTAGGGGCAGCTGCACCGGCCTTGCTTTGGCCTTGGAGGCGGCCGTGCCGGCCTTGCCTTGACCCCAGATGCCTGGAGATGGCCATACTGGCCATGTCTCGACCCTGGAGGCTGCCAGCGCGGCCTTGCCTTGGCCCTGGAGGTGGCTGGCACAGCCATTTCTCTGCTACACTGGCCTTCCCGGGGGGGGGGGGGGGGGGTGGAGAGAAGGAGGGAGGGAGGGACAATGGGACTTGAATATTCATGAAATTTTGAATTCGCAGGGGTGGGAACAGATCCCCCACAAATTCAGAAGGATGACTGTACTTTGTCCAGGTGAGAATGGTATCTGCATGTAGTTGTAAAGGGGGTCACTAGGGTAAAAAGTTTGAGAACCACTGAATTATAAGGAATAATTTTTTCATACAAAGATAACTTTTTGAAGAAGCTTTGATAGTAACAATTTTTTTACACATGTGTATAGTTTTCATGACAATTCTGGGGGAGACACTCATTTGCTTAAGTAAATTCATGTGGCTGCATCACTCAGATACAATCCCAGCCTTATAAAAAATGATTTTTAAAAAAAGATACAATCCCAGCCTTGTTTCCTTTACACAGCAATGGGTACATCTAATGGGGAACCATTAATCTCTCAATTAGATATTAAATCATGTTTGTACATATAAATAATTGGATTTCCTGTTAAAAATTAAGTTGGTGCTCAAAACCTTTTCTTGCAGGGCATTCTTCTACAGCTATTTGGAGGCTCAAGGAAAGATTTCAGCCACACTGGTAGAGGTAACTTCCGTGCTGAGATCAACATTTTGCTTTGTGGAGATCCTGGTACCAGTAAATCACAGTTGCTTCAGTATGTCTACAACCTGGTTCCAAGAGGCCAATATACATCTGGAAAAGGTTCTAGTGCAGTTGGTCTTACAGCATATGTGATGAAGGATCCTGAAACCAGACAGTTAGTTCTGCAGACCGGAGCATTGGTCCTCAGTGACAATGGGATTTGCTGTATTGATGAGTTTGATAAAATGAATGAAAGCACAAGATCAGTTCTTCATGAAGTTATGGAGCAACAAACACTGTCTATTGCTAAAGTAAGAAATTCACCCAAAATATCTGCAATAAGTTAGTTACTCTCTTCCAGTCTTAGATAGTGAAGAGTGGTAATGCTTATGTAACCAAAATGGCAAATCCATTAACAAGGGAAGTATCAGGTTCAACAGAGCTTCATAGTTAACAGAAGTTGAGGCAGAGGGAATCTGTTACAAAAAGAAAAGATATGCAGGGGGGCCTTCTCAAGAGTAGCCACTGAATCCTAGGCTGCATTTGTTTTGCAGAAATAATCCAGTTTGACACTACTTTAACTGCCAGGGCTCAGTGCTATGGGATTCTGGGAACTATAGTTTGTTGTGGCACTAGAGCTCTCTGACAGAGAAGGCTACATGTCTCCCAAAACTACAGTTCCCAGAATGCCATAACATTGAGCCATGGCAGTTAAAGTGGTGTCAAACTGAATTATTTCTGCAATGTGGATACAATTCTAGTTAACTTTTTTGGAGGGTAGGAGAGCAGGTGGGAAGGGGAATGGAGTATCGTGGAAGAGGATATGTCTGAATGTCTGGAGTAATAAAAAAATGCACTGCTTCAGAATTCATAAGTAATAATTGAGATGGTTCACTAAAGCAATTTCTTCAATAAAGACTACTGAATTTCCAAACCCCATTTAATATACTGATATTTATTGCTCTAGCTCTACACATGAAGCAATGCCCAGTTTTGACTCTGCTAGAATAGTAAATGTCAAATATTTTCTTCT